CAAAGATCTAAATTGATTGGGCACTTCTTGGTTTGAGAATAATCAAATAAAGGTCTACGAATTCACTGGAAGTTGAATGATTTTTCAGACTGATGTGGTCTGTGCTGTTGGTGTGGATTGCAAACTGGAGAAGCGATACCCTGGTATGTTTGAGCTGGTGCTAACGTCTTGCTCATCGCACTATAATGTGGACCGAGAGTTGAGGAAGCTGGCGGTGAGTAGCGTATGAAATTCTGTTTTCTAAATAGTTCACCCGGGTTAGATATGAGCGAATTTAGTGGGTCTTGATATTCAATTTCTAGTAATCTTATTATTTCGCTACTCTATCTCTGGGGTTATCTCAACATAATTTTCTATTGCTGAGCAGTTAACGAAGAATTTACTCGCATGTACCGTTTTTATAGGAAGCCTTCCTGGAACTAACAGATATACTGACTTGTGGATTGGCGGTGCTATGCTCTGACGTACGACGTACCTACGATTCTACAAAGATGCGTGATTCGGTATTCTGGACTCTGATTCAAGCATTCAACTTTGCTTTTCAAGTGAGCTACTCATCCTACTTTCCTTTTATTTATTGATTTTGCACAACTGTCCACATGTCGTGCTATAAATTCCTCACACAGGAAAAAAGTATTCAGAGAACTCTGCCGTTGTTGCAGGAAAACGTACAACTAGAAATAAGACAAGCAGCAGAAATAGAAATCGGGCATAAAACACAGAATGAGGAAGTTACATGCAGAGTATTCTTCTTATACAGTCGAAGGGCGTGCCAGGCGGGATGGGTTTGGCGCGTCGCGAAAGCGGCTCTACCAATTGCTGAACAGTAAGCGAGCGATTGATGGAAAAGGACTGGTAAACTATATGATACAGTCTTGTCGTTTGCTTACTTCAGCAATAGTGTACTAACAAGGGAATGGTTTGAACTTCCCATGGAACTTTGAATGGAGACCTAGGTACATCGATAGAGCCTCGAATGCTGATTACGAATATGCAGATTAAAAGTGCTACGGGGACCTCCCAGACGAGATCTGGGTGGTCAAAGTTTGCGAAAAGCCAGTTTTGGCTCGTAAGCGCTGCTGATCGATGCCTCGGCAGTGCCACCGTGGCCTCGTGGTAATGGTCTCGCTTTCAAGTCAAACGCATGCGGGTTTGCATCCGGTTGGCGCGAAAATTTTTGCTTCGCTCCGTATAAGAGCTTCAACTCTAATTTTCGAAATTCTTCCGAATTTACGGCCCAGCAGGGCAAGTAGATCAAGTACATCAAGTATACGACGTACTCGATCTAGTATGGATTTGGTCATATCTGCCCTCTCTGAACATATTACCCATCCGGCAATTCAAAGTTCTGCCCAGAATCGCAATTTGGTAAGACGAGCGTTTTTTCGTCGAAGGATGTGATATTCGTGTTTCAGGGGGTCGAAATCTCCCATGAACGAGTTTCTCGCTAAAACTTTGAATTGTCGGATGGGTAACCTGTTCAGAGAGGGCAGATATGACCAAATCCATACTAGATCGAGTACGTCGTATACTTGATGTACTTGATCTACTTGCCCTGCTGGGCCGTTAATTCGGAAGAATTTCCGAAAATTAGAGTTGAAGCTCTTATAGGGAGCGAAGCAAACATTTTCGAAATCGGGCATAAAAACACAGAATGAGGAGTTACATGCAGAGTATTCTTCTTATACAGTCGAAGGGCGTGCCAGGCGGGATGGGTTTGGCGCGTCGCGAAAGCGGCTCTACCAATTGCTGAACAGTAAGCGAGCGATTGATGGAAAAGGACTGGTAAACTATATGATACAGTCTTGTCGTTTGCTTACTTCAGCAATAGTGTACTAACAAGGGAATGGTTTGAAGTTCCCATGGAACTTTGAATGGAGACCTAGGTACATCGATAGAGCCTCGAATGCTGATTACGAATATGCAGATTAAAAGTGCTACGGAGACCTCCCAGACGAGGCCTGGGTGGTCGAAATTTGCGAAAAGCCAGTTTGCCTTAGAAGGCCGCGTTCATACCGTGCGACGTCGTCGTCAACGTCGACGAAAGCTGCGTAAGTTGCGTAAGCTGCGACTGGTTCGTGAATAATACATACGTATCGATCCAACGAAAGCTGCGTAAGTTGCGTAAGCTGCGTAAGTTGCGTAAGTTGCGTAACCGACGACAGCTAACCGATCGATACGTATCTATTCTTCTCGAAGTTGTCGTCGGTTACGCAACTTACGCAGCTTACGCAACTTACGCAGCTTACGCAACTTACGCAGCTTACGAACTTACGCAACTTACGCAGCTTTCTTTGGATCGATACGTATGTGTTCTTCAGTCGCAACTTACGCAGCTTACGCAACTTACGCAACTTACGCAAAAGACGTCGCACGGTATGAACGCGGCCTAAGGCCGGCGTTCTACAGACGGCACCCGCGGCACCCGTGGGCCTCGGCCTCCGCGGCAGCCGCGGCCAGGAAGCGTATGCGGGCGCGGCCGCCTCTTGATGGGGACGCTGGAACGCAATCAATACCTTGAAAAAATGGGTTTCAGCTGATCTGGTTCAACTGGTCCCAACAAATGGGAACTCAACTGCAGCAAAATTTCGCCCTTGGGGTGTCCCTTTTTAACACATTGGCGACAAGGCGCCATTTCGCGTGTCTGCCGCGTGGGACAAAGCAGTTTTTCCCTATTCGAAGAATGCGCATAAATGCTAGGGCGTTTATACGACAAAAAAATTGAAGAATGGTCAGAAATTATTGCAGAAGCTGGTAAGGCTTCGCTATTTCGTTTACTTTCAAGATAAACCCTAAAATTTCATGAAATACTCTCGCCTCATTCAGGTGGAGTGGGCGCGCGAAAAAGTCGCAAAAAAGGGAATATTTTCGCGCCAGAGGTGGTAAATTGAATTCGATTCAGATGTGCTATTGTTGAAAGTTACCTTATCACATTAGCTATCTGCATGTGGAATTTCCAAATGTGTCTTTTTTGTGTCTTCAATTACAGCATGATTTATCAAGTTCCGAATAAGTTTTCGGCCGTCGCCACAAGAGGCCGGCGACTGCTACGCTTCGCGCTTGGCCGCAGAGGCCGCGGCCTCTGCGGAATTTTCCAAATCGATACGTATACTTTGCTTGCTCTGAAAATTCCGCAGAGGCCACGGATGCCGCGGATGCCGTCTGTATGAACGCGGCTCTAAGCGCTGCTGATCGATGCCTCGGCAGTGCCACCGTGGCCTCGTGGTAATGGTCTCGCTTTCAAGTCAAACGCATGCGGGTTTGCATCCGGTTGGCGCGAAAATTTTTGCTTCGCTCCGTATAAGAGCTTCAACTCTAATTTTCGAAATTCTTCCGAATTTACGGCCCAGCAGGGCAAGTAGATCAAGTACATCAAGTATACGACGTACTCGATCTAGTATGGATTTGGTCATATCTGCCCTCTCTGAACATATTACCCATCCGACAATTCAAAGTTTTGCCCAGAATCGCAATTTGGCCAGACGAGCGTTTTTTCGTCGAAGGATGTGATATTCGTGTTCAGGGGGTCGAAATCTCCCATGAACGAGTTTCTCGCTAAAACTTTGAATTGTCGGATGGGTAACCTGTTCAGAGAGGGCAGATATGACCAAATCCATACTAGATCGAGTACGTCGTATACTGTACTTGATCTACTTGCCCTGCTGGGCCGTAAATTCGGAAGAATTTCGAAAATTAGAGTTGAAGCTCTTATACGGAGCGAAGCAAAAATTTTCGCGCCAACCGGATGCAAACCCGCATGCGTTTGACTTGAAAGCGAGACCATTACCACGAGGCCACGGTGGCACTGCCGAGGCATCGATCAGCAGCGCTTACGAGCCAGAACTCAAACTTTGACCACCCAGATCTCGTCTGGGAGGTCCCCGTAGCACTTTTAATCTGCATATTCGTAATCAGCATTCGAGGCTCTATCGATGTACCTAGGTCTCCATTCAAAGTTCCATGGGAAGTTCAAACCATTCCCTTGTAAGAGGGTTCGGTTGTCAAGCCCATCACACCTTTCACGCCCCTTCATCCGCTGCGAACCCCGCTGTACTTCTCCTTCATTTTCCAAAATCTGAGGACTGCAAGGGTTCTGCATTTGTTAGCGTGCAGATGGCTAGGACTCTGAACACTACTACCTGTGGTTATGTTGGGAACCTTGTGCATTTCTATACTATCAATGGGATCATTGAACCTTTCACAGGAAAAGTTCCACTGGATTCACTCGAATTTAGCTTAGCAGCTGGGTCAATCTTTTTTTCGAGTGAGTCGCTCTTTGGGAAGGATTTTTGGTATTTTAAATTTTGCTTTACTTCTTTCAGTACTATTGTTTTTACCACGGCACATGCAATGTATCGCATGCTTTCGATTCATTTTCATGCACGTATCTTCGCAACTTTCCATTGTTTCAGTTACACCGAGAAGTTTGCCGATATGTGGGCGACTCGTATTTGGCCGACTTCGGTATGCAGTTGGTATCGCGGGGTCTTGATGTTATACACCAGTGGAAGGAACTGGTGCGTGCTTTAGGATATATAAAACAGTGATTGGAACGTTACATTCACAGAAAAGACTAGATTTCCGTTTTAGGTAGTAGTCATGAAACCACAGCCGTCTCCTCATATACCGCTGTGGGCTAGTCACGCCTTCAATTTTATTCATTTTCTCACCGACCCTAAATATACTGAATATCTTCTGGATTACCAGTTTCAAGTAAGTTTGTCAATGTAGTTGGCACTGAGAACTCAACATGGAGATGTTTTCAGGTATTGAAAGCTGACGTTGAAGAGTGCAAACACCTGGTACTCGGCGACAAAGACGCTATAACGGTGGCACCCAGGAGTCGGAGTTCTACAATGAGTTCACGGAAGACTTCAGATGAGATCTCGACAAAGATGAAAAAAGTATCGCTGGAGTCTCGTCGAGCGAGGCTCGAAGCTGCCGCACTGGCAACAGACGAGAAAGTTGCAAAAAGGGTAGGTTGTTATTTAATGTAACGTACTGTGTGCTGAAAGCGAATTCCGGAAATAATGCATACTTTTCTAACTATTTGTTGCAGTCTGTCTATCCTATGGGGCGCGTGGTGACAAGAAAACGTGGTGAATTTAACATGGATATGTACACGGATCCGTCGAAAACCGCTCCGTTCAAGTATCAGATTCTGGAGAAATTAGGTGAGAATTTCACACATATCATTTGCTGAACGAGGCGAACCCTCTAGTACGATTTGATGGCGCACGTGGCCAGGTGGGGGCATTTTGCTAGTTCCCATCGATCATGCCTATGCGTCCTCTCCAGTAGCACATGGTTCTTTTACAGTTGACAGGAGTCTACAAGTCTTACCGAGGTGAGGCGGGTAATTTAACAAAAATAAGAAAAGAAACCAGCGGAAGTGCGGAGTGCCCCCCCCCCTGAGTCGAATACCCCCGTATTTGACTTGTCCGCGCTGGGGTAGTATCGGTCAGCGATCCAAAACGCTACTTGTTAGGACACATAAGAACGACGCTTGATCTCTTGACATATTAATGACAAGGAAATCGCGCATTACCACCTATAAGTCCTTTCCAGGCCAGCTTTCTGACTCACATTGGAAGGCATATGGTGGTGGGAATTTATTGCGATTCCACATACTATTCTATGCAGAAAGGGGCTTTGAAATATGAAAAGTGGTTCATCCACCCTAGACCTTTCCTCTCTTTCTCCGTTCAAGTATATTTCACATCCTGGAGATGGAGAAGGCGTGTCTGCGTTATTCATTAGAGCGTTGCGGTGGCTGCGACCGTCACGGAACCTTATCATCCTGTTTTTGGCGGGATAACGTGGTGCTATCATGTCCGTGCCCAGTACAACAGCATGAGCCACGCTGCTTCAACTGAAGTGCGCAGCCACGCCCCTTTCGTTTCCGTGATATGGGGTGTACGAGACATGTCGTGAAGTGGAACGCGACGTCATATCATGTCTTAACTGTAATATTAGAATCAGCGCACTTCACTACAGATTTACGCCTGATTTGTTCCTGTAATATTTATGCCAAGAATTCACGAATAGCCTTTTAAGCCGGTGGAACGTTTGGAACCGTCTACAAGGCTCTCAAGGATGGACAGTGTGTGATAGCAGTGAA